TTTCTTCTCCCTCTCTCTCTTTCTTTCTTCTCTCTCCCTCCCTTCCCTCCTTTCCTCCCTTCCTCTTTTCTTCATTTCTTGTCTGGATAATTCAGTTTAAATTCCCCTTGAACATTCCAGTGTTATTCCCATCATCTGCATGTCAACTTAGTGAAAATTGTACTCAATCTAGGTTTTTATTCTGTTTCTTTAATTTTTCTCATTCGCTTTTCACTTGAGTAAGCATAGGTCTTGCTTTTAAAGAAGGCACATGCTCTTTTACACTGGCGAACGGAAGGCTTGCTAATAAGTGAGAAAGAGAGAGGAGTGGTGGGGTGGAGGATATATATTTGAGTCGGTTGGTTGACGCTGCAGATGATCTGGTGATGTCACTTGAGGCTGCCCTGCTCTTATATTCTGGGTTGTAAATGTCTCTTACTATCACGTAATGCATATATCCTGTGGATATAACTCCATGAATCGTTACCTTGGTGCCAAATCACGTTAGTCTCTGATCCACCTGAATTCACAAACCAATCCAGCTGGATCTATTATCCCACACAATGAAACTAAACGGGTGACCTCACCTAATGCTATAAGGAAACAGTTGTACTGTATTCCCCACCAATATACTGTATAACTTAATGTAAAAAAGTACAATCAACTGTGCATTAATTTAAAACACTTTAAGACATGATCAGTCAATAGCATCTGTATTGCCTTTTCATTCTTGAAGGAAATGCATGTTTCAAATACCTCCTCAGTGGTATATGCTAATTTACCACTGTTCTAAATTTATATATTAAGATAATGGCTATAGATTATATAAGACATATAGGAATAGTTGCTACATAAAATTGTGCATGTTTTTATAGCAGTAATAAAATGTTTAATCTCAACTGTAGAGTATTTTTATTATATCAAGTTGGGTATATTTTAATTTTAAAAATCCTCTTAGTACAAAAAAGTGTATCAAACAAAGAAACAAGTGAAATTGAAAACAAAGAGTTTTTAAATGTTTGGAGGACATCTATTTCATCAGTCTAAATATTTTAATTCATATTTATTTGCTGTTGATTCATCTAATAGGTAACATGATTACTTGATCTTAATTTTTGGTGTCTCCTTAACTATTACTTCTTTTTAGAAGTTAAAAAGTTTGGTGAGGAGGGTGAAGCATTTGGCAGCTTTGTAAACTATGACAATTATATTATTTTGCAGGAAAGCTATAGTTTCTGTGAGTTGCTACTTAATTAAAAATAATTTGATGTATTTAGTGATAAAATTAATATTACATTGAAGCAAAGGGGAGTTATTTTTAAGCAGAAAGCATATAAATTAGAACTAGGTTTGTGGATATTTATTTTTGTAAGTTATTTTATGTTCTAAGTTTTAAAAGGGACGTCAACATTTCAAGTAGTTCTAGGGAAAGCATTCTCCTTAATACATGAATATCATTAGTTTATTTAAATATTTCTCTCATGAGTCTCCTAAGATTCTGTCAATACAAGCATCATTTTCTTTAAAAATAATCCATGATATGTGAAGATACTTTGTCAACAGTAAATTATTGAAAGGTTTTCTTAAGTGTCAGGCATTTTAGTTTTTTTGTGTGTGTTTTTACAAATTAAGATCTTAAATATTCTAAAATTTGTGTGATGACTTCCAGCTATGTAAACTGTATAGTACTAATTCTTTCTTCCTCCATATTGTTTGTTAACTTAATTTGGAATAATTTTAACTAGTATTTTTTATTTATGTAATAGAAACATACGAAATAAAATGTTACTGGTAAAGTACTTGTAAACATGAGAAATTCATAGGAGGCTGAATACAGAATAAAAAAGTAGAAAAGTATGAAATATAGAGAGTATACTATTCTTTAAGATGTTAGGATTGTTTAAATTGACACAAGTAAACTTAGTTTATTTTAAACCTAAGTATAACATAATGTTAGTAATCTAATATTTTTTATAATCACATATAATTTATTTAGAGTAGGTATTTAAAAATATTTTTTAAAACAATCATAAATAAGAAAACATTTTCTAGCAAAAAAAAGGAAAATTATTTTGACAAATGAGTATGCTGAACATCCTTAAGGCAAGTCTAAGCAGAATTTGGGAAATCAATAAAGAGTGTGGGTCAGGTGACCGGTGTTTGTTGAATGGACTGACCGAGAGAGAGCATACACAAGCGTGATTTTCCAGTCTAATTAAAGGTGAAACGTAAGCAGTAAGTATAAGGCAACCTCATTTATCAAGCTCTGTGCTTTTGGGTACAAAAGGGTAAAAATAGGTCTTAAACTTTAATATTCTGGAGAATTAACATGGAACTTCTTCCTCACTGTGATACAGACTGGATTTTTAAATTTGTCACATTGGAGAAAATATAAAGACATAATGTTTGGCTGGTTAGGTTTATTTTAATGGTGATTTTCCTATAGTGGCTCCTTGTAAAACTGCAGGGTCTGGTTTGTCTGTGAATAAGGGTCATTAAATAGGATATGGTTAATTATTTCGTGGTATGTACATACACACAAAAAAGACAGACTGAAGAATAAAGTTTGTTGGTCATCTAGTGGACAGATAATTTAATGCTAGTTCTTCTGCCTCAAAATTCAATTATGGCTCTAAGAATACTTTGGGCAATCAAACTATTCTAATGTACAGAGTTTACATACTCATAAGTCAAAACCTGATTAACTCAAACTTATCATTTTTGGTATAAATCCCAAGTTCCTGGAGGGGAAAAATAATTTTGTCTTATAGTTTAATTTTCTTTTCAACAATATTTGTGTAAGATTAAATTAAAATATTGTTTTCCATTACTACCTATTCACATTGTTGGAAGGTCACACTTTGATGAATATTAAGCTGAAATTATATGAAAAACAGATAATATAAACTTATAACCTATTTTAGTAACAAAAAATATGAGTGTAATATATAATAGCCCTTGTAGTCAAATTTCAAAATGTAATTAAAAGTATACATTTCTTTGTTGTGATCTATCCAAAGTACGGAGGATGACAAAATGGATATTTGAAAAATAAATTCAACTGGGAAATTTTTAAAAATTAACATGTCATACAATCGTATTTCAGGTAGATACCAAAACAGCTATCTTTGCAAACAGACATATTAGTTAAATTGGATGTCCTTTGCAAAACATCTGAGACAAACTTAAAGCAGTCTATTTTCTTATATTTTCCCAATAGTTAATAGATAGAGATATTTTGGATTGGAGGATAGTGTATGTTAAATTAGAACAAAAGCAATAATCAAAATACTAAATTAGTCTATCCCCAAATTTTCTAAAGGATAAAAATATTTGACGTATTACCATTATTGGTTTAATTCAGCTATATTAGAAATCCTGTAAAAGAATCAGTCTTTTAAAAAGGTTGTCCCTGTACAATAAAATCTAAAAATACTCAGTTTTTGAAATGATCCATTTAAATTTCAGATGGCAGTAGGAATTATGTAATAAAACAGATCAAGCACTCGTGTATTGCCACTTTGATGAAATAATACAAGAATTTTATGGGCTGTTTTGAACTTTTAAGACTTTGATAGAAAGGACCAATTGATTAATATTTTTTTTCTTTTTAATGATGTGTTTATTTTGCTCTCCTTTTCTGTCTAAAATCGTTCTATTCAATTGTTTAAAAGATGATGGATTGCAAAATTGTAACAATCATAGAGGAGATATTATGATCCCCTTAGTAATAATGAAAAAGTTGTTCTTTCTAAAGTTAAATATGAGTTCTGTGTGTGTCTGATTTACTTGTCAACTCTAAATATACAAGATGAGTAGTACTGCTTGTAAAAGTATCTTGGTATGTAAAACAGAGTTGTTTAGTCGATTTAAATGCATGGAAAATGTGACACTATGTTCAGTAGGCTCTGCAGAATTTTCCACTTATATACTAGGAACATAATAAAAACTCACTGAATTTAAATGTACTAAATAATATGCTATTTTGGGTTTAATTCAACAATGTTTAAATATTGTTGTACATTTTCTCTTTCAGGAACATAAAGCCCTAAAAAGGCATTTTAAGGGTTTACATTGGACTAATATAATAACCTTAAGCATGCTAAAGATAAAATTCTGATGATTTAACGTGCAAGGTTGTTAGTAAAGATATGTTAGAATTAAATCCTGTTTGACTTCTGTTTATTTTTAGGAAAATGAGTAACATGACTATACTGTGATTCTCATTAGGTTTCCTTATTTTGAATTGATAGCGAGATTCTGTGCTGATTTGAAATAATTCTTTAGTTTTATACATTTTTCTCTCTTCCCTTAATTTTTTATCCTGAGATTAATGACAAAGACATGAGTCACATTCCTACAGTTTGTCCCTTGCTTAAATGATAAGATGATGCATAATTTGCATTGATGTATTTCAAAGTTGTCACGAGATTAAGCTTCCATAAAACTGTCAGAAACACTTCTTAATTATTTTTTTCAGTGTGGACTCTTCCAAGTGCTGTTTATTTCCAAAAGAAAAAAAATTTTACTTCTTCCTGACATTGTGAGATCCACACACATGCACACACACACACACACACACACACATACACACACACACGTCTTCTTTACAAGTAATATCATTATTGTTCTGGATTTTAAAATGAGGTATAAACACAATACACCTTATATTTTTTAACAACACGTAGTTTTTAAGCTGCTTTCATGATTTTATTTGACCTCAAACT